GGAAAGACTGCAATTGAGTGAATGATGGTGGCAATATCTAGTGTTGTGTGTGTATTCATGTGTTTGTATTAATGCATTTGCACAAGCAGAGGTTGGGATTTAGCTCCTGGGCCTTACCTCTCAACCTTCAATTGACAGGTGTATCCGATTTCTAACCATGTAGTTACTCTATCCACGTAATATGTATGGAGTATGTTTTCACTATCTCTTATTTACTCTTGACTGTATGGAGTCAGATTCCACTACATCTATCTACCTCACACTGCATGAAGTAAGTTTCCACTACCACAGTCTACTCCTGACCTATATGTGGAGTATGTTAAGTGAATAATGTGTAGTGTAGATGTTTTAGGATTCATTCATAAGTTGCTTACTTGTGAATTTAAATTTTTAAGCTTGCAGTTCCCACCAAGGTAAGGTGATGTAGAGGAAATGTGCACACTATTCTAAGGAAAGACACACACCAATGTAAAGGAAAGACACACACACACACCAATGTAAAGGAAAGACACACACCAATGTAAAGGAAAGACACACACCAATGTAAAGGAAAGAGACACACACACACCAATGTAAAGGAAAGACACACACACACACCATTGTAAAGGAAAGACACACACCATTGTAAAGGAAAGACACACACCAATGTAAAGGAAAGACACACACACACACCAATGTAAAGGAAAGAACACACACACACCATTGTAAAGGAAAGACACACACCATTGTAAAGGAAAGACACACACCAATGTAAAGGAAAGACACACACCAATGTAAAGGAAAGACACACACCAATGTAAAGGAAAGACACACACCATTGTAAAGGAAAGACACACACCCATTGTAAAGGAAAGACACACACCAATGTAAAGGAAAGAGACACACACACACATTGTAAAGGAAAGACACACACACCATTGTAAAGGAAAGACACACACCAATGTAAAGGAAAGAGACACACACACACCATTGTAAAGGAAAGACACACACCATTGTAAAGGAAAGACACACACCATTGTAAAGGAAAGACACACACCATTGTAAAGGAAAGACACACACCATTGTAAAGGAAAGACACACACCATTGTAAAGGAAAGACAACCACACCAAATTTGTAAAGGAAAGAGAAAACACACACACCATTGTAAAGGAAAGACACACACCATTGTAAAGGAAAGAACACACACCACATGTAAAGGAAAGACACACACCAATGTAAAGGAAAGACACACACCATTGTAAAGGAAAGACACACACCATTGTAAAGGAAAGACACACACCATGTAAAGGAAAGAGACACACACACACCATTGTAAAGGAAAGACACACACCATTGTAAAGGAAAGACACACACCATTGTAAAGGAAAGAGACACACACACACCATTGTAAAGGAAAGACACACACCATTGTAAAGGAAAGACACACACCATTGTAAAGGAAAGACACACACCATTGTATGGAATCTGAAATTTAGCTTTACAGTTTCCGGCATTTTAATAATGTTGGTGTACATATAGTAAGGTTAGAGGATTAGTGGTAAGTTGTCATCATGATAATTATGCCCAGTTTTATTGAAACTGTTATACTGATCCAAACTTAGTCATGCACAAAAGTGGATAACTCAGTTCTTCTGATGGATTAAGGAATCTGTGGGCTACAATATAGGAAGATCTAGGGTTGCAGATCATTACTTGAGAAAGATCAATATGATATTTGCCTGCAATTATTAGGTTACATTGAGTGTGTTTTTGAGCAGTTAGATTTTGACATTTTTATTGAGATTAGGTATGTTTACACTGCAGTATTTGCAATTCCGATTTTTATCAAAGTTCTGTCAACAAACCGAGACAATTTTTTTTTTTCAACAAGTCAGCCGTCTTCCACCGAGGCAGGGTGACCCAAAAAGAAAGAAAATCCCCAAAAAGAAAATACTTTCATCATCATTCAACACTTTCACCTCACTCACACATAATCACTGTTTTTGCAGAGGTGCCCAGAATACAACAGTTTAGAAGTATATACGTATAAATATACACAATATATCCCTCCAAACTGCCAATATCCCGAACCCCTCCTTTAGAGTGCAGGCATTGTACTTCCCATTTCCAGTACTCAAGTCCAGTTATATAAAATAACCGGTTTCCCTGAATCCCTTCACTAAATATTACCCTGCTCACACTCCAACAGCTCGTCAGGTCCCAAATACCATTCGTCTCCATTCACTCCTATCTAACACTCTCATGCACGCTTGCTGGAAGTCCAAACCCCTTGCCCACAACACCTACTTTACCCCCTCCCTCCAACCTTTTCAAGGACGACCTCTACCACGCCTTCCTTCCCCTACAGATTTATACACTCTCCATGTCATTCTACTTTGATCTATTCTCTCTAAATGACCAAACCACCTCAACAAACCCTCTTCAGCCCTCTGACTAATACTTTTATTAACTCCACACCTTCTCCTAATTTCCACACTCTGAATTTTATGCATAATATTTACACCACACATTGCCCTTAGACAGGACATCTCCACTGCCTCCAACCACCTCCTCGCTGCTGCATTTACAACCCAAGCTTCACACCCATATAAGAGTGTTGGTACTACTATACTTTCATACATTCCCTTCTTTACCTCCATAGATAACATTTTTTGCCTCCACATATTCCTCAGTGCACCACTCACCTTTTTTCCTTCATCAATTCTGTGATTAACCTCATCCTTCATAAATCCATCTGCTGACACGTCAACTCCCAAATATCTGAAAACATTCACTTCTTCCATGCTCCTCCTCCCCAATTTGATATCCAATTTTTCTTTATTTAAATCATTTGATACCCTCATCACCTTACTCTTTTCTATGTTCCCTTTCAACTTTCTACCTTTACACACACTCCCAAATTCGTCCACTAACCTTTGCAATTTTTCTTTAGAATCTCCCATAAGCACAGTATCATCAGCAAAAAGTAACTGTGTCACTTCCCATTTTGTATTTAATTCCCCATAATTTAATCCCACCCCTCTCTCGAACACCCTAGCATTTACTTCTTTTACAATCCCATCTATAAATATATTAAACAACCATGGTGACATTACACATCCTTGTCTAAGACCTACTTTTACCAGGAAGTAGTCTCCCTCTCTTCTACACACCCTAACCTGAGCCTCACTATCCTCATAAAAACTCTTTACAGCATTTAGTAACTTACCACATATTCCATATACTTGCAACATCTGCCACATTGCTCTCCTATCCACTCTATCATATGCCTTTTCTAAATTCATAAATGCAATAAAAACTTCCCTACCTTTATCTAAATACTGTTCACATATAGGCTTCAATGTAAACACCTGATCTACACATCTCCTACCCACTCGGAAACCTCTTTGCTCATCCGCAATTCTACATTCTGTCTTACCTCTAATTCTTTCAATAATAACCCTACCGTACACTTTTCCTGGTATACTCAGTAAACTTATTCCTCTATAATTTTTACAATCTCTTTTGTTCCCCTTACCTTTATATAAAGGACTATATACTCGCTCTCCGCCAATCCCTAGGTACCTTCCCCTCTTTCATACATTTATTAAACAAAAATACCAACTACTCCAACACTATGTCCCCCCCTGCTTTTAACATTTCTGTCATGATCCCATCAGTTCCAGCTGCTTTACCCCCTTTCATTCTACATAATGCCTCACGCACCTCCCCCACACTCACATCCTGCTCTTCTTCACTCCTAAAAGATGGTATACCTCCCTGGCCAGTGCATGAAATTACCGCCTTGAGACAATATATAATTTAAGGCACACATAAATATGAAAAAGCACCTAAACTACTGGGAACAACTGAAGTCCCTTGATTTGTATTCACTGGAGGGATTAGTACCAAACTTGCACACAAAAATCACTCCATACGAAAGCAAAAGACTCGGCAGGAGATGCAACATTCCCTCAGTGAGAAGCAGGGGGGCCACGAGTACACTAAAGTGACAACACAATAAGTGTCAGGGGCCAAGACTGTTCAGCTGCCTCCCAGCATACATAAGGGGATTACCAACAGACCCCTGGCTGTCTTCAAGAAAGCACTAGACAGGCACCTAGTCAGTACCTGATCTGCCGGGCTGTGGTTCATATGTTTACGTGCAGCCAGCAGTAACAGCCTGGTTGATCAGACCCTGATCCACCACAAGGCCTGGTCTCAGACCGGGTCGCAAGGGGAATTGACTCCCGAAACCCTCTCCAGGTAAACTCCAGGTAAATCTTGTTAACAATCTGAGATAATATATACAGTGGACCCCCGCATACCGTTGGCATCACATAACGTTAAATCCGCATACCGATACATTTTATCGCTAAGGTTTTGCCTCACATACCGCTAAAAAACCCGCTCAACGCTATTCGTCCGAGACGCGTCTAATGTGCGGCCTGAGCCAGCCTCGCATGTTCCGCCGGTGGCATTGTTTACAAGCCAGCCTCCACGGTAACGTCCAAGCATACAATCGGAACATTTCGTATTATTACAGTGTTTTTGGTGATTTTATCTGCAAAATAAGTGACCATGGGCCCCAAGAAAGTTTCTAGTGCCAACCCTGTGGTAAAAAGGGTGAGAAATATTATCGAAATACTGTGGTACCATGGTCAACTGCTGATGCTGCTGCTGCTGTAACACTGTCAGCTGCTGCTGCTGCTGTAGCACCATCAGCTGCTGCTGCTGCTGTACCACCGTCAGCTGCTGCTGCTGCTGTAGTACCGTCTGCTGCTGCTGTAGCACCATCTGCTGCTGCTGTAGCACTGTCAGCTGCTGCTGCTGTAGCACTGTCAGCTGCTGCTGCTGTAGCACTGTCAGCTGCTGCTGCTGTAGCACTGTCAGCTGCTGCTGCTGTAGCACTGTCAGCTGCTGCTGCTGTAGCACTGTCAGCTGCTGCTGCTGTAGCACTGTCAGCTGCTGCTGCACTGTCAGCTGCTGCTGCTGCTGCTGCTGCTGCTGCTGTAGCACTATCAGCTGCTGCTGCTGCTGTAGCACCGTCAGCTGCTGCTGCTGCTGTACCACCGTCAGCTGCTGCAGCTGCTGTAGTACCGTCTGCTGCTGCTGTAACACAGTCTGCTGCTGCTGTAGCACTGTCAGCTGCTGCTGTAGCACTGTCAGCTGCTGCTGCTGCTGCTGCTGCTGCTGTAGCACCATTGTTGGTGTGGCTTATTGAGAATACCAAGAAACAATTAACCCCAGAGGGTTAGCCACCCAGGATAACCCAAAAAAAGTCAGTGTCATCGAAGACTGTCTAACTTATTTCCATTGGGGTCCTTAATCTTGTCTCCCAGGATGCAACCCACACCAGTCGACTAACACCCAGGTGAACAGGGAAAAATGCCTGGAACTAGTGCTCATATTGGTGAGTTTAAAGCCAGCAAAGGTTGGTTTGAGAGATTTAAGAATCGTAGTGGCATACACAGTGTGATAAGGCCTGTTCTGGAAGAAAATGCCAAACAGGACCTACAGTACTCAGGAGGAAAAGGCACGCCCAGGACACAGTGTCTCATCAGTCATTGCTGCATCTTCAATAAAGGTAAGTGTCATTTATTCTTCATTTAGTAGACTAGTACATGCACAATATATATTGTGCATGTATTACTCTACTATTGTGCATGTATCCTTCTCTTTGTGTGTAGGAAAATGTATATTTCATGTGGTAAAATTTTTTTTTTCATACTTTTGGGTGTCTTGCACGGATTAATTTGATTTCCATTATTTCTTATTTGGAAAATTAATTCGCATAACGATAATTTCGCATAACAATGAGCTCTCAGGAACGGATTAATATCGTTATGCGGGAGTCCACTGTATTATAATTCAAGTCTTGTTAACAAACTAGATTATGTTATTATTCGTCTTGTTAACAAACAGAGGTAATACTATATATTTAAATAGTCATCTCTCATTTTTATGAAATTTTATTTTTACATTTTCCATCTTAAGCAAAGTAGATTGAACCATCACTTCCTGTCATGTTAGGTGTACTGTGAATGGCTGTTACTCAGCAATTTTCAACAAAGTACGTCAGCTTTCGTGTGGCCAGCATTAACAGCCTGGTTGATCAGACCCTGATCCACCATGAGACCTGGTCTTAGACTGGGCTGCAGGGGGCATTAATCCCTGAAACCCTCTCCAGGTAAACTCCAGGTAAATTCATCATGTCCTGTAACTTGAAAATTTATTGACATTAATGTTTTTGTTTTAATTACAGAACCTGCCATAGAGACACAAATTTCATGTCCAATATGCTCAGAAATATATATAGCCACAAGTCGGAGTCCAGTTGCACTCCCACAATGTGGACATGCTTTCTGCCGCTCCTGTCTTCAAGGTTTAGAAGAGACAGGTAGCGTGGTCTGTCCCACTTGTGAGAAAACACATTCGGGTGCCAGTGTATCAGATCTTCCCGTTCTGCATCCCATTCTCAGCTTATCAGAAGCTTACAGGAAAGCTAAGGTAAGGAAGAAGTACATTTTGCTCCATGTACGTATTGTAAGCAACTACAGGTGCTACTCGACTTACGATGACTTGACTTATAATATATCAACTTTACGATGGTGCAAAAGCAATTACTTTGGAGATGAAACTTAAGATAATTACCCAGCATAAAGGCGGTAAATCCATAACTTGTATTCATTTACAGCCTCTCCTCACTAAACGATGGAGTCCCGTTCCTAAGACCACGTCGGTAAACAAATTCGTCGCCAAGTGAGGAGCATACTTTAATGGTAGTGCGTTTGTGTCAACCATCTTTGATATTGTTTTAATGTCACCTTTGCACCATTTATAACATTTCTGGTAGATTTTTAAATGTTTATATAGTAGTGTACTGTATATTGTAATAAGCATATACTGGTCAGAGAGCCCGTCATAAGTCCGAGTCATCGGTAAACGAGTACGTCGCTAAGTGAGGAAAGACTGTACTTTTCAATAATAGTATTTAGTTAGTTACAATTCTTTGTTTATTTACTTATTCAGTGACAGTAGTTATTTATTTACTTATTAAGCATATCATTCATACTCGACTTAAGATATTTTTGACTTACGATGGGTTCATCAGAATGTTGAGATTAAGACACATGTGCAACATCTGGGTATCTTTATTGTAGACGTTTCGCCATCCAGTGGCTTTATCAATACAAATTCTAGAACATAACTTGAAGACAGTAGAACTATGTACAGAAGATGAGGTAATCAGTCCCTCAACCTAGGAGTAGGTGCGAAGAGCACCATAGTCGTGGAGATTCAGAATGTAACCCAATCATATTGGTATAAAACTGTGTTTAGCTTGATGTTGTTGCATGCTTACTGGCTCTGCCACCAATCAACCTTAAGTACGGTAGTGTTAACTCCTACTGTAACTTTAAAGTGCAAATACTAACTCACAAGTTTAGATGCAGTTATATACAGTAGTAGAATTTAATTAAACATATTCCATAATTGAAAGAAACTGTATTTTGTTATGTCATGTCATGAAAATATCTTCATGTCCTAGATTTCTTTGCACATCATGTTGTAACTCTCACATGAACTGTCACAAACTGGTCTGACATGTTACAGAGTAATGTGTTATTATTCTTTTCTTTCTTCTCTTGCTCTCTCCACCCTTCTTTCCTTCTCTCTCCACCTTTCTTTCTTTCCCTTTCCCCTTCTTGCTTTCTCAGCCCCTCTTTTCACCCTTCTCTTCCCCATACAGTGGTACCCCGAGTTTCCTACAGCTCCTAACTCAAACAGTTATGTAAGTGTATTATTGTAAGTGCTTTTGCAAGTGTATTTTTGGGGGTCTGAAACAGACTACTCTAATTTACATTATTCCTTATGGGAACAAATTAATTCAGTAATGGCACTCAAACAACCTTCTGGAATGAATTATGGCCAAAACTTGGGGTACCACTGTACTTCCTTATCACCTCCCTCTTCCCCTTACCTCCACATCACCTTCCTCCCCCCCTGTTTCTCTTTAAAAGGTTGGTGAATTTCTTGCAGGATGCTGGCTGTGTACTGGAGAGATGTGAGACCCATGGAGATCAGCTGTGTATATGGTGCAGGGAATGTTCTAAAGCTTTGTGTGGACTCTGTCTTATTGAAACAAATTACCATAAAGATCACAACCTTGAAAGGATCATTGATCCCGGAGACATTGAGAAAAAGATTCAGAAACATGCCAGGATTGTTGTTGAGTTTTCCAAGGAGCAACAGAATAAAGTGCTGACTGAACTGCAAGTCAGCATCAGAAGGGTTGTTGAGCTGTGTTCTCTGAGCAGTGCTATAGAGGATCAAGTGACGACAGTTTCAGAAGTCTTGGAAAATAGGGGAAAGAAGTTGGGAATTAAGCCTTCAATGGAAGCTCTGATTAAACTGGATGACATTCTGCAATCTTTGCACCAAGCAACTGAGTCCCTGAATCAAGAGAGTGACCCGGGGTCACAGGCTGACCAATCAGATTCCCTGAAGGAAGGAAACACCAGCTGTAACGACTTGAGCAGAACTCCAAAAATCAGTGCTAACGATAGTGGAGAGTCTGACAGTGGCGTTAGTAGTCGGGTTCTGGTGCCCAGATGCTGCGGCAAGACTGACGATGGGCGACAGATGGATCTTCAGATAAAAGACAACCAACTTCACTTGTGTGCTTTGAGCAATGCAACACAAGATGCTCCCATTACTGTACAGGTAAAACTGAACTAATGTTGTCTTACAATTATAATTAGTTTGTCAGTTTTAGCCTCCTTTCTGTTTTTGTGTGTTTTTTTTCTTTCTCACTCGTATGTGTTGGAAAGGTAATCCTCAATCTTTCATACATTTTTGTTTCTCAGTGCAAGTAAGTAAATAAGTTGTGTTCACATAGAACACATCAGTAGTTGTGTTCAGGTAGAACACATCAGTAGTTGTGTTCAGGTAGAACACATCAGTAGTTGTGTTCAGGTAGAACACATCAGTAGTTGTGTTCAGGTAGAACACATCAGTAGTTGTGTTCAGGTAGAACACATCAGTAGTTATGTTCAGACAGAACACATTAATAAGTGCTCTGATAGAGCACATCAGTAAACTGTGCTCAGGTAGGAAGCATTAGTAACCGAGCTCTACCCAAACACTGCTGTGTGAACTTAACCTGAATTAATTTAACATGACACTGATATTAAATCCATAAACACCTTGAAAAGCTAATACTACTCTTCTCTTTGAGCATTTTACAGTTGATGGAGAGGTTCATTAATCACAAGACCCTGCAGTACACCTGTCATACAAACATACAATATTTAACCCATTAACCCAAGATAATTTATAATGAATGACTGTCAGTGACTAAACAAGAATGGACAAGAACTTGATCCGTGGTCCATATATACAGCATAGTTTCAGTATTGGGTGTGCTATGTCCAGTGTCCAGTCTATGTCCAGTGTCCCCCGGATCGTGGGGGCATTGACCCCCGAAACCCTCTCCAGGTATATTCCAGGTCTCCAGGTATAGTTTATGTAACTGCAGAATCATGCAGGATAACATTGTATGTGAGACGGATTTTATTTTATATATGTATGTGTATTTTTTTTTTAATTGTAGTATCAGCATGCCTCTGGCAAGACAGTGATGGAGTGAGTGATGATGAAAGTGTTTCTTCTTTTTCAGGTCACCCTGCCTTGATGGGTAGCCACTGATGTGTTAATAAAAAATAAAAAAATGTGTATTTTTCATCAGGAAATGGTATCCTGTTAGTCAAATGATGGCCCATTCAGTACTTCCTTGAATGAGTCTCAACACAGAAGTGGAGGCACTGTCTAGGACCCAGCAGCTGGACTCATAAAGCAAAGACTCATAAACACCACTATAGTCTCTGCCTCTTTTATAGATGTAGTGAGCAGCCCCATCAAGAAGGTGCCTTGATGCTAGTGAAGGGCTCTTGATCTGAAGAACTGGAGCAAGCTTCTCCTCTTTTGGGATCAAATATGTTTGTCTTCCATTCTCCAAGTGCTGTTTACCACTTCCCTATGAATATACTATTACTACTACTAATACAACAATAATGATGATAATAATACTAATACGTACTGTATCCCACCAAGGCAGGGTGGCCCAAGAGGAAAAACAAAAGTTTCTCTTTTTTAATTTAGTAATATATACAGAAGGGGTTACTAGCCCCTTAACACATTGGCCGCTTCCCACTGAGGTAAGGTGACCTGAAAAAGAAAAACTTTCATCATCCCTGTCTTGCCAGAGGCGTGCCGCTACTACAGTTCAAAAACCGCAGCATATCTGAAGTAAGCTTTATTGTTTAAATTAGAATTAGAAATCATCAGACTTGGTAGTCCAAAATGCCACTTTTAAAATGCATAATTTTTTGTTGTTGTCATTCCACAGGTGCCATTTCTGGAACTGTTTATCTCTCAAGATAAACCAGAAGTTTTCTTCGAACTGAGTGTCAATGGTCACTTTCTGGGTCGAGTCTACATTCAACTGTGGGGTCACTTACGCCGTGCCAGGCACTTTCTCTCACTCTGTCTTGGCACTCTTGGACCCTCTTATAAGGGCTCCAAGTTTGATGATGTCTTGAATAAGGACCAGTCAGGAGAAGTCCTAGTCTGCACAAATTATATTGATGAGAATGGTTCGTGCTCAAAAGGGCTTATGGACAATTTAGAGTGGGACGGGGAATACAGACAGCTCCAAAAATCTGGCCAGCTCATTGCAACAGGTGGTGGAAAAGATAAAAAAAATGGTAGTTTTGGAATATGTACAAAAAGCAATTTCTTTAAAACTTTTTCCTGTCCTTTTGGGACAGTGGTGTCTGGGATGGATATCATCCAAGAGGTTGTTCATAATTACCTTGCAAATGACATTATCATCTCCGAGGTTGGTGCAGTTGCTTTGGATAAGTTTGATTAAATAGTTCAGTTCACACAGGTGCAGTTTTCCCAGCCTTTGGGTAAATTTGATGGACATTCCACAAGTTAGAAAAAATTAATATGATGTTAGCTAAGGATAACTACAAAATAATTCTGAATTTTTTTCAGGTGCGGTACACATATTTATCAAAAGTGAAATTATTTTTAGTACCATTGTGCTATTACAGTTTCTCCTGGGTACTGATGTACATGTTCTTTTATATTTTGTTTAGCTGCAGAGGTTATAACCACAGAGACATATATATCTCTCAGTGTATATATTATGAGTGTTGACTTTAATTCCTAATTTAGGGATTAAGGTATCCTTGACTGGTGGGCAGCATTAATGGCCCTCATGTAATGAATATGCTTTTTATCTAATACATCAGTCAAGCAGTCTCCATATAGCTGAGATTAGAGCAGTTTATTTTTAAAAGGAGTTTGGAGGGATATGTATCTTTTTACGTATATGCTTCTAAGCTGTTGTATTCTGAGCACCTCTGCAAAAGCAGTGATTAAGTGTGAGTGTGGTGAAAGTGTTGAATGATGATGAAAGTATTTTCTTTTTGGGGATTTTCTTTCTTTTTGGGTCACCCTGCCTCGGTGGGAGACGGCCGACTTGTTAAAAAAAAAAAGAATAAAATAAGAAATAAAGGAAAATGAGTGTTAATTCTTGCTGCTGGAAAATATATGTAAAGATGTGTAAAGTCAATTTCAGTCTACAAGTTATATGGACTTAATATATCTCATTTATATACATATTCTTTTAACACACTGGCTGTCTCCCACTGAGGAATAGGTTAACCCATAAAGGAAACAATTTTCACCATCATTCATACTATCACTGTCTTGTCAGAGACATGCAGATACAACAGTTTAGATAACCCTCCAAACAGCATATATCCTGACCTCTCCTTCAGAGTGTAAGCACTGTACTTGCCACCTCCAGGATTCAAGTCCTGCTAACCATATTTCATTTTAATTGTTTAGCGCAGTCAATCACAGAACCCACAGCTAGTGAGTTGTAAAACTCACCGGCCAGTACGTTAACCACTCGTTTCTTTTCTTTTTTAACATGGCCATACATTACATATGAACCCCTCCTGTATAAATTACTAAATTTAAAAAGAGAAACTTTTGTTTTTTCTTTTTGGGCCTCCCTCCCTTGGTGGGATACGACTGGTGTATTGAAAGAAGAAAGACATTACATATTGAATATAAAGTATCAGAAACTAAGAATACTTTCTGATAACTGCCACAATGTTCCCAAGTCTATACTACCACTGCACTTTTCTCTCATTTACCCATATTTCACACGTAAGGTTTGTGCCTGGGGATCCACTTCAGAAGTCCACCTCAAACCAATCATCACTCAACACAGGGAAACTATCAGGACCATCACAGACTCTAATTAAAGCAACACACTCTGCTCTGTAATACTGATGCTGACCCAACACTTACTGGTTAATTATGTTTCTTTTCATTGTAGAAAACTTATGTGAGTTTCCTTAAGATTAGTCTATTGGTTTCTGTGATATAAAGGGGGAACAAAATCCCCTGAAAAATAAAACTTTTTAAACACTCTGAACACTTTTTTTTTTTTATGATCAAGTCTGTGAGAATCATTTGACAAGTACTGTAGCCAAAGGAGTGTTTTATATTATTTATTTAACACACTGACTGTCTCCAACTGAGGGAAAAAATTTATGTGTTAGCACTTTAGGTTTAAATCAATGAACTCCAACAAGGGTGAGGTGAGTGTATGTTCCTAGCTATATTACTAGTTTATAAATTAAATAAAGAAACACAATACTGTGACTGGAACAATACACAAGTAACTCGCGTATTAACCAGTTAATGGCCCAAGTTGGACCAAAATATAGTCATAAGTGTCATTCTCCTGTGTGCAGGGCATTTGTGCATACATTTCTTAGATAATACAGTGATTGAAATACATCTGACTTTGTTTTCTTAGGGTCACTCTCATCGAAGACGGATCTTGATGCTGGTAAAAGCCTCTTACGTCACACGGATTGGAGTTATCTCTCTCTCTCTCATTGTCTTACAACTGATTACCTCTCATTCACCTATCGAATGTTACAATGATGTTTTGGTCCTTCCCAGACTATTCTCAAATCAGAACTGAGAGAGTAAGAGGCAGGAAAGGCCTGGTGATTTGTTCTACCCATGGTAATTGTGGCTTTTTATTTTACCTCAACTCCCCTATAGGTATGGCACTTTCCTATGCATATTTTTCTTTCTTTCAACACACCGGCAGTATCCCACCGAGGCAGGGTGGCCCAAAAGGAAAAATGAAAGTTTCTCCTTTTACATTTAGTAATATATACAGGAGAAGAGGTTACTAGCCCCTTGCTCCTGGCATTTTAGTCACCTCTTACAACACGCATGGCTTACAGAGGAAGAATTCTGTTCCACTTCCCCATGGAGATAAGAGAAAATAAACAACAAGAACAAGAACTAGTAAGAAAATATTAGAAAACCCAGAGGGGTGTGTATATATATACTTGTACATGTATGTGTAGTGTGACCTAAGTGTAAGTAGAAGTAGCAAGACGTACCTGAAATCTTGCATGTTTATGAGACAGAAAAATGGACATCAGCAATCCTACCATCCTATGCATATATTACAATTAAATTAGTTTTCTCATAAACCTAACACAATATTTCCCTGTTTTTCAATAAAAAATTGGTATATATATTTGTGTATATATACATATATGAGTAGGTAGTAGGTTGGTAGACAGCAACCACCCAGGGAGGTACTACCGTCCTGTGGTAGTAGGTTGGTAGACAGCAACCACCCAGGGAGGTACTACCGTCCTGTGATAGTAGGTTGGTAGACAGCAACCACCCAGGGAGGTACTACCGTCCTGCCAAGTGAATGTAAAACGAAAGCCTGGAATTGTTTTACGTGATGGTAGGATTGCTGGTGTCCATTTTTCTGTCTCAAAAACATGCAAGATTTCAAGTACGTCTTGCTGCTTCTACTTACACTTAGGTCACACTACACATACATGTACAAGCATATATATATACACCCCTCTGGCTTTTCTTCTATTTTCTTACTAGTTCTTGTTCTTGCTTATTTCCTCTTACCTCCATAGGGAAGTGGAACAGAATTCTTCCTCCGTAAGCCATGCAAGGGGCTAGTAACCCCTTCTCATGTATATATTACTAAATGTAAAAGGAGAAACTTCCATTTTTCCTTTTGGGCCACCCCGCCTCGGTGGGATACGGCCGGTGTGCTGAAAGAAAGAAGAAAGATACATATATGACTTGGAGGGTGCATAAATCTGTAGTGGAGGGGAGGAGGGGTAGGGGTCATCCTAGGAAAGGATGGAGGGAGGGGGTAAAACAGGTTTTGTGTGCAAGGGGCTTGGACATTCAACAGGCATGTGTGAGCATGTTATATAAGAGTGAATGGAGACAAGTGGTTTTTAGGAACGGACGAGCTGTTGGAGTGCAAGCAGGATAATATTTTGTGAAGGGATTCAAGGAAACTGGTTAGCTGGACTTAGAGTCCTGGAGGTGGGAAGTACAATGCCTGCACTCTAAACAAGGGATTCTTGATACTGGCTGTTTGGAGTGACATCTGAACTGTCATATCTGAGTGCCTCTGAAAAGACAATGAGTATGTATGAATGAGAGTGAAAGTGTTGAGTGATGAAAGTTTTTTCTTTCTTTTTGGGCCACCATGCCTCAGTGGGATACAGCTGGTTTGTTGAAAGAAAGAAGAGTATGTACTCATCTATTTGTGGTTGTAGGGGTCGAGTCATAGCTCCTGGCCCCACCTCTTCACTGGTAGTTACTAGGTCCCCTCTCTCCCTGCTCCATGAGCTTTATCAAACCTTGTCTTAAAACTATGTATGGTTCTTGCCTCCACTACGTCACTTTCTAGGCTGTACCACCTCCTGACGACTCTGTGACGTCCTAACATCCCTTTGACTCATCAGAGTCTTCAACTTCCAATTATGACCCCTTGTTTCTGTGTCCCATCTCTGGAACATCCTGTCTTTGTCCACCTTGTCAATTCCTCACAGTATTTTATATGTGTGTGTGTGTATATATACGTATTTGTGTGTACTCACCTAATTGTACTCGCCTAATTGTGGTTGCAGGGGTCGAGACTCAGCTCCTGGCCCCGCCTCTTCACTGATCGCTACTGGATCCTCTCTCTCTCTGCTTCCTGAGCTTTGTCATACCTCTTCTTAAAACTATGTATGGTTCCTGCCTCCACTACTTCACTTGCTAGGCTATTCCACTTGCTGACAACTCTATGACTGAAGAAATACTTCCTAACGTCCCTGTGACTCGTCTGAGTCTTCAGCTTCCAGTTGTGACCCCTTGTCCCTGTGTCCCCTCTCTGGAACATCCTATCTCTGTCCACCTTGTCTATTCCCCGCAGTATCTTGTATGTCGTTATCATGTCTCCCCTGACCCTTCTGTCCTCCAGTGTCGTCAGTCCGATTTCCCTTAACCTTTCCTTGTACGACATTCCCTTGAGCTCTGGGACTAGCCTTGTTGCAAAGCTTTGTACTTTCTCTAACTTCTTGACGTGCTTGACCAGGTGTGGGTTCCAGACTGGTGCTGCATACTCCAGTATGGGCCTAACATACACAGTGTACAGTGTCTTGAACGATTCCTTATTAAGGTATCGGAACGCTATTCTCAGGTTTGCCAGGTGGCCATATGCTGCAGCGGTTATTTGGTTGATGTGTGCCTCCGGTGATGTGCTCGGTGTTATGGTCACCCCAAGGTCTTTCTCCCTGAGTGAGGTCTGTGTGTGAGTGTGTGTGTGTGTGTGTGTGTGTGTGTGTGTGTGACTTTGCATTTGGCTGGATTGAATTCGAGAAGCCAGTTACTGGACCACATGTCCAGCCTCTCCAGGTCTCTTTGCAGTCCTGCCTCATCCTCGTCCGATTTAATTCTTCTCATCAACTTCACGTCATCTGCGAACAGGGACACTTCAGAGTCTATTCCTTCCATCATGTCGTTCACATATATCAAAAATAGCACTGGTCCTAGAACTGACCCCTGTGGGACCCCGCTCGTAACAGGCGCCCACTGTGATACCTCTTCACGTACCATGACTCGTTGCTGCCTCCCTGTCAGGTATTCCCTTATCCATTGCAGTGCCCTTCCTTTTACGTGTGCCTGATCCTCCAGCTTCTGCACTAATCTCTTGTGGGGAACTGTGTCAAAGGCCTTCCTGCAGTCTAGGAAAACGCAATCTACCCAACCCTCTCTCTCGTGTCTTACTTCTGTTACCTTGTCATAAAACTCCAGGAGGTTTGTGATACAAGATTTGCCTTCCATGAACCCATGCTGGTTTTCATTTATAATCTTGTTCCTTTCCAGGTGTTCGACCACTCTCCTCCTGATAATCTTCTCCATGACTTTGCACACAATACATGTCAGAGACACAGGTCTGTAGTTTAGTGCCTCGTTTCTGTTTCCTTTCTTAAATATGGGGACTACATTAGCTGTCTTCCATTTCTCAGGTAGTTGCCCAGTTTTTAAGGGATGTGTTGAAGATTGTGGTTAGAGGCACACACAGCATCTCTGCTCCTTCTCTAAGGACCCATGGGGAGATGTTGTCCGGTCCCATCGCCTTTGAGGTGTCAAGGTCACTTAAGAGCTTCTTCACCTCCTCCTCAGTTGTTCGTATGTCATCCAACACTTGTTGGTATATTCCCTCTTGATGTTCCCTTCTGTGCTGTCTTCCCACAGCCCTTCCTGTCTCTACTGTAAAAACTTCCTTAAATCTCCTGTTCAGCTCCTCACATACCTCCTGATCATTTCTTGTGAGTTCTCCACCTTCTGTCCTTAATCTGATCACCTGGTCTTTGACTGTTGTCTTCCTCCTGATGTGGCTATACAACAGTTTCGGGTCAGTCTTGATTCTCGATGCTATGTCATTTTCATACTGTCGCTGGACATCCCTTCTTACCTGTGCGTACTCATTCCTGCTCTGCGACTGATCTCCTATTTCGTGTGTTCTCTGCCTTCTGTACTTTTTCCATTCTCTTTTGCACTTGTTTTTGCCTCCTTAACCGTCGGGTGAACCAGGGGCTTGTTCTGGTCTTCCCGTTGTTTACTGTTGGCCCTTGGGAATGAACCTTTCCACTGCCTCCTTGCATTTTGTTGCTACATATTCCATCATTTCATTTACTGGCTTTCCTGCCAGTTCTCTGTCCCACTGGACCTCCCGGGGAAAAAGTTCTTAAACCCCTATGTAGCCCCCCTCTTTTTTAGTCAGGTTTTTTCCCAAAATTTCTACTTCCGTTATTCTCCCCCATTTGGCACCCTCTACTTGTATTCAAAGAAACAAAAAACCCTGGTTGCAAGCCCCTAGGGGATTTCCCCATACTTGATGCCCTAAATTGTCGGGAGCTGCCCGGGGTGAAACAAGGCCCAAAATCTTCCCTGGTTAAACCCCTCCCCTCCCACTCTGGTAGTGTCCTAACATTTTGGGTGCCAGGGGGGGGTTTTCCCAAGCCACCACGTCCAACACCCTGGCTCCCCTTTTTTGGGGACCCCCAAGGGTCTCCGGGTTTTCCCAGAAAT